TCCCAGGGCACCTTCTGGCTGAGTGGGGATGCTGACCTGCCTTCCTGAGTCCCAGGGCAGAATTTTGCCCACTACACCACCCTGGCTTTAGCTGCCCGTCATTCCGTAGATCTTCCCTTTTGCCTTGCGCCCCCACGGCCGCTTGCAAAATGCTGAAGCAGAGGGAAGTGTACTGCTCCCCCGCTTGGCACGGAGCACGCCATCCTCCCTGCTGGGGAGGGCCAGAGCCTGCCTCGGATGCTCCCCGCTGCAGGGGGCTGGTGGCAGGTGGTCCTGGGTGTGGAAATCCGTGGGAGGGGGCGCGGCCTTCTCTGCCTCCCGCCTCACCCTCTTGCTCCTTCCCACACGGCTGGGCTGGGCTTCTCTAAGGAAGACGACCGTGCCAGTCAGCCTCGGTCCGAGCTGGCCAAAGCAGTGGCAAGGGAAAGCACGGACACTCAGGGAGGGCTCCTTGAGCATTGAGGCAGCTTCAGAAGGGACGTGAAAGGGAAGGCCTGGCCGCCCGGCTGGGGCCACAGGGCTGCTGACGAAAAAGACAGGAGGGTGAGGGGGTGGGCCCCTCGTTCTCTCGTGCCGCCTTCTGGAAGGAAGGAGGCACGGGAAGAAGCCCGAGCAGCGTCTCTCCGAGGCAGGCAGCCCCGCAGGGGGTGGGGTAGCAGGGATGGCGGCGGGGAGGGCAGAGGGGAGGACGCGCCCCGCTGGCAGTGCAGGGCCCATCCCCACCCATCGTGGCCTGGCTGCGCCGGTCGGTCGGCTCCGAGTCCCCGTGCGCTGAAGCGGCTGGGGCAGAGAATCCCCGCAGCTCTTCCCGCCCCGCAGCTGCTGGCCGGCAGGGCTTTCGGCGGGTGGAGGGCTCCGCTGTGGAGCCCTGTCCTCTCAAGCGTCTTTCCTGGAGGGTGCCGTCCTGAAGCGGGGGCCAGTGTGCCCAACCCGTGGGATCATTTTCTCCCGCCCTCCCCCAAATTGCCACAAAAGGCTTGTTGTGACCCCTTCACGTGCACTGGGCTTCCAGGTCCTGGCTTGGTATTCCAGCCACTTCGCCACACCAAGCCCAGCCCGTGATCTTGGAATCCAGGCGGCTTCCAGGCAGCTTCCAGCCGTTTCCAGTGGAGGTCCTGGTTCCAGAAGGGCCACAAGTTTTTATGAAAAGAGGCTCAGCTGTGGGATGGAGTGTTCAGCAGGGCTTCACATCTAATACCAGATTCCCATAGATATTCTTCTGGACCATCGATTATTTTCGATTTGCAAAGCATTCAACAAAAGAAATAAGTACAGTGTAATCTCTTTTGCATGAGCCTCATATAAGCCTTTATCTGCCCAGTAGAACAAGCTGCTGATAAGAGGGGCTGCTTGTAAAATTATCTTGTAACTTTAACAGTCTGGCTATGCAGCACATGTTACTTGTTGCTAAGTAACTATCTTCACAAAGCTAAACAAAAGCTTCTGAGAGTGGAAGGAGAGCGTCTTGCCTGTGCTCCTCCGGGATTTTGCCAGGCGGAGGGGGCAAGCCTGGCAGCCCTGCGCCTCTGCCACTTGGGCTGGTGTGGGCCGACCGGCCAGCCCCGCTCTGCCTCCGGGCCCACCGGCCTCCCCACGCCCCAGGCCCCGGGAAGGAGATGGGCCCGCGCGTCCCCTGCACCCTTCAGCGGAGACCCCCGAAGCCAGCCAGCAGCAGCAGAATATGCATGATCCAGCAGCCCGAGGGAGGGAAGGAGCATCATGTCAGCACCTGTGCTAAGCCAGGAGCTTTCCTAGGGCCAAAGAATGAGTGGAAACTTCCTTGCGCAGGGAGGCACCGATCCCCTTCCTGCTAGCTTCTGAAGGGCAAGAGGGCAAGGATCCTGGGCAGACCGATTGCTGACATCCTGGACCCGCACAGACTAAAATTCACCCCCAGGGCTGGACCAGGTTGTGTCCTGGGATCCTTGCCTGACCAAGCCGCTATTACATTGACACTGACGTTCTGGCGGAGGCAAGAGGAAGTGCCGTTGGGCGCAGAGACACCCGGGAACACGCTGGCATGAAGAGAAGCGGTGCCTTCTGGCAGGCCATGCGCGGAGTGCAGGGGGCTGGGGTCCAGCAGGCCGAGCAACTCTTTGCCCGACAAAAAGGTCAGCAAGCTTACATATGACTTCTGCTCACACACGCAATACAGATATGCGGACACAGAGAAAACCACAGTCCCCCATCTCTGCGGCAGAGCAGATCAGTACAAGCCATCTTGGAATGAGCTCAGGCAGTTTGGCCTCTTCACCTTGGCTGCCTCTGGCCCACAAGCATCGGCCGCGTGGTTTGCCGCTCTTAAACCAGGGACGCTGCTTGCGTCACCGCCAGGGGTGGGTGAGCCTGTCCATTTCAGTCGGGTCTCGAGGTGTTTGTTTATTGCACTGATTTATCTCAGGTCCACATTTTCCAAATCTGCTCCCGAGCAGCTCTTGGTGCCAAGCAACCGTTTGGCCCGGGAGGGGCTTTCCGCCGGTGCCTTTTCAAGTCCAGGCTCTGCTCTGGACCGATGGCCTTCTCCAGGGTAGCCTGCCTCACCCCACCCCTGGCCTCGGATTGCAGACCCATGGGCTTAGCCGGGGAAGTCCATCTGCTACCAATAAATCAGCAGCTGCTGCGGAGGAGCAGCTTATTTATTTGAGGGGCTGTGCGGAGATGCATGGAGCAGCCAGCCCGGTTTTCCCAGTGACCCCTGTGGCCTTAGCCTGGCTGGACAAGGAGGGGCAACCTCTCCCGGACCAAGGGCCAGACTCACTTCCGGGGTTTCGTGGGGGCGCTCTCCGTGGATGGGCCAGGCCAAAGGCGGAAAGGGTGGGGGTCGCACTTATTCCAGCTGGAAGAGCTTGTTGCCCGGGACAGAGTGCAGGAGAGACATGCCGACCTTTGAGCGTGGGAGGGAAGCAGGCCGGGGGCACAGAAGGATCTGTGCCTGAGGTGGGGGCATGGCGCAGGAGGGCCAGATTTGCTTTCCGGCCTCAGTCTCCCAGCCACGCACGCAACAACACCAGGAAGCTGCCCCATGGAGCCCCACCATCAGCACTCCGGCCCGCAGTGGCTTCAGGACAAGCCCCTCTGCAGATGTGGCTTTCCAGGCCAAGGAGAAGGGGTCTTGGAGGGGGTGCGTGCGTGCGTGTGTGTGTGTGAAATGCGGCATCAGCAGCTTCTAGGCTGATAGCTGCTCCTGTCACTGACATACAGTAGTGGAAACTGAAATCCAATTTGGGGGTTGTCAGCTTGGTAAATGGTATTCTTTAGGGGTGATCTCCTAGTAAATACACTTAAACTCCAAATTAGAGAGCCAGATTGCTCAGTCAGAGAGCTGTTTGTGGGAACTCAAGGGGGGCTTCTCAACAGAAGAGGTGTCACATTAAGAGCACTAATGCAGGGGATGAGGAATGGCCATTTTCCATCAAACGGCTTAGTGGTGTCACTTCTTATTCTCAGACGGAGGTTCTGAACTGCATATATGCCTCGCAGCCAGCACTTGCACACATAATGGAGTGTGGGGCAGTTCTAGGGTCGAAGCAGGCTCTGCTGTGTGCGGGTGGGCCCACGTGCAGGCTTTGAAAGCCGCTGCAGGCTGGAGCCGAGCCCCTGCTGAGTGAAGAGGGACATGGCGGCTGCGGAGGCTGCGCCAGAGGCGGCCCAGGCACGGACGGGGATGCTGGCCCCGGCCCCAGCCCCAGCCCCGCTGAGATTGGCAGCCGCCCTGTGACGCCTCCATCTGAGCCTTAGCTCAGCATGCAGATCCCTCCAAAGCTGCGCGGGCGTCATGAGGTGCTTCCCATTCCCCCCCTCACTGAATAGTCCGTCAGTATTTCAGCATCTCCTGTCCCTCGCGAGTGCTTTTCTTCCTTTTGAGTGGCTTCACGTGGCATCTTGCCCAGCTGAGCTTTCTGAAATGGGTCTTCTGAAGTCCTGGGTATGCACCCGAGTGAGCTGTTTTCACAGCCACTGCTGCAACAAATTCCAGGACGACCAGGTCATGTTCCCACGACACTCCGCATCCTTATCAGTGCTCTCTGTGGAGGAGAGACAGCTGTTCAAGCGAGTGAAAGACATGCCACTGAAGTCCAGGGATTTTTTGGAGTCTTTCTTGAAAGGCAAAATCAGAGGAGTTTTTTACAAGCAAACGGGGCCAAGAGATGTGTCTGACCAGTGGGATGGGGAATGTAATCCAGGCCAACATAGGTCCCTAGGGACTGAAGAAGAGCTAAGCCAGCTCAGGCTGCATCAGTCCCCTGAAAAGTGGATGATGAACGTTGCCGAACCTGCCATTAAAGTGAGATTTGTGAGCGCCGCCTTGTCCGGGGCAGAGCCCAGTTGATGGCCATGAATGTATTATTTAAAGCTCTGGAGAAAAAGGGCGGGATTGCTCAAGTACCCGGGACTGCATCCAGTCGCTGGCCTTGGGTTTCGAGTCCCCTCCGGTGTATGCTTGTGGGGAGGTTGAGAGCCAAAGGAAGCGCCCCCGTCCTCGGACTTCTGCTTCAGCCAGTCAGCCAGCGCTCCTCTTCGGATCCAAACACACTTTTCTCCCCAAACGTTCTGACTTTCCTTGTCATGTCAAATCCTATTTCAAAGCCACAACATTTTGGTAATCCTCTTTCCAGAGCTTCGAAAGCCCCCCTCCCCCTCCCCCTCCCCCGCCTGTCCTCCCTGCAGCCGCAACCAGTGTGAAGTGGTTCTGACAGGGCAGCCGGGCCCTGGCACTGGCTTAGGCACCCGTTGCCACAGCCGGGCCCCCGCCCCCCCGCTTTCTGCCGAGGGCAGTTCCAGCTGCTGCCGCGCCCTTGCGGGTGGGATGCTGGCGGGCGGGCGGGCGCCCAGGTCTCCCGCAGGCCGCCGACCCCTCCGCCGCAGCCCCGCGCCCGCAGCGTGAGGGGCGTGGCCAGGCCACGGCTGCCCCTTGCCTCCCGCTCCCTTCCGGGAGCCCCGCGGTCGGTCGGGACTTCCCCGGGCCCGCACCGCGTCCGCGTCCGCACAAAGGCTGTGGGGATGCAGGTGGGGCTGGTGCTTCTGGGCTTCTTCTGTAACGAAGGGCTGGAGCTGGACCGGCCGGTTGCTTCCAGTGGCTGGGGCCGCCCATCCCTCAGAGTCACCCTGCCAAGAGCCAAGGCGAACGTACCTGCCTGTGCAAGGAAGTGCCCAGGGGCACCGAGCCCTCGGCCAGGTGAGTGGAAGGGCCGACGGGTGGTGGCTGGCGTAAGGTTCTGGCTGGCTCTGTCCCCCCCCCCCCCCGCCAGCCCTTCAGGTCCTCTTGCTGCCCCCCCTGGGCTCCTGGGCCGCCGTAGACCCCCCTTCCTCTCTCCTCTGGGTCCCTTCTGGCTCGCTCTGTTTCTATGTATCTATGGTCACTCTCGGCCATCCTTCCATCAGTAAGCATAGATGTTTTTCCTTTTATTCAAGTAGGCTTTGTGCTATTTATAGTAGTTTTACTGCTTAAAACTTTATAGTAGTGTTTCTGCTTTACTAAGCTTTTATTTCCCTCTGAGTGTAAGTTGTTTTGAGTGCTGAAAGTCCTTCCTCGCAGTTTGGGTTCCCACCATCCGCATTTCCTTGCAGTGGGTTCCCCTTGAAACGTTTCCTTATTCTTGTCTACGTTGCTTTTCTCCTTCACAGTAGGTGGGGAGAGCATGGTCTGTCCTGGGGACATCCCAGCGGCTGGAAGGGGCTGCAGGGGGCATGTTCGGGTGAGCTAAAGTGTGTCACAAGCCGAGCCTTGTGAGAGCGCTGAGGTAACACTGGGAGCGTGTCCGGAGCAACTGGGAGAATGGGGCTGATGGTTCTGGGTGTGGACTGAACGCATGTCTAAGCCACCCAGGAAGGCCTCGGCAGTTATAGGCGGCCTGTAAATACATGAATATATATGTGTGTGTGTGTGTGTGTCTGCCTGCCTGCCTGCCTGCCTGCCTGCTCACTTTGCTTTCCACCAGCTAGGAGTTCTCTTGGGATGCTATGCTGGCACTGGTGTCTGCTCACATTTGGTTTGCTGCTATTCTTTTGTAAACCACTTTGGAAAGCGCTTCAGATGAGAAGTGCAATATAAATGTCATCACTCCATCAGTGCTGGAGGGCAACAGAGAAACGGCGAAGCTACTTGACCGCAGCCGTGCCGTTCTCCTCCCGCACAGCGGGCTGTGGCCAGGCCCAACTGCCGGTCAGAGGGTGCAGGCGCACAGGTCAGGCCGAGGAGCCAGTGCGTGGGCCACTCCAAATGGGCAGGCCTTCAGGGCTCGGTGCGGTCAGCCTAGAGCCCGGTGCGTGGCCTCTGCCGCCGGTCACGTTGGGCGGTGCTTGGGAAGCCCCCAGAGGCAGGCCAGCGTTGCCCCCATTTTGGGGGCTGTGGCGGGAGGAGGCAGTCAACTGCTGGCCAGCCTTCCTAACACCGGGACCAGGAAAGGGTCTGTGCCACATGCGGGGCAATCAGCCGGTGGACGCCGTCACCATGAGCTGGAATAAGTTTCTCGAGCACAAGTAATTCCAAGCTAACTGTATCTCCCTTTTTGATTGCATTACTAACTTGACAGAAGAGGAGAATTCTGTGAGTACACTGTATTTATTTAAAAGATGGTTAGCTTGCCTTTTGGGGTACACTGCCCTCACAAGGTGGCTTATAAGACTTCAAAATCACACAATAGAACATTTTTTAAAAGCCCTTCAACGGCTGAAGATGTTTTCACAAGCATAGCACAATTCAGCGAAATGCAGGCTGGAACATTTGTCATTTTCCAGGCCAGCAGTGAGGAAGCCATGCTGCTCTCTCCGGGGAGATGTCCCCAAGGCCCTCTCCTGGTCCCAGAAACTGCTTGCCACACAGCTCTTGCTGGCAGGCCAGAAAAGTGGGGCTTCCAGCACTGACCTTCCCACTGGCCAGGCCACATGGCCGAGCGGGACTTCCACCCTGGTCAGCAGAATGCCATCTTGCCCAGATTAAGCTCTTTATCCATCCTTGACTCTGTTCAGGGTTAGGGTTAGGCACTGGCTCAGGCACACTGTTCAAATCCCACATGACCTGTTCAAATCCTTCAGGTGCACAGTGGGTTGCTTGGCCAGCAGCCAGGCCACTGTGGCTTATTCCCAGGGTGGGCTGGCAAGATGTGGGAATATGCTCACACCAGATGCCCCACCTGGCCTTCTCTGAGCCCAGCAGGGCTCCTACCACATCCTGAAGGCTTATGCAGCTCCAGCACAGTAAGCTTTCAATTTTAAGTCTTTAATATGGCTTTAATTTTGACAAGCCATACCTTGGAAACCATACGTTAAGCTATAGAGTGTCATCTTGTTTAACTATCAATAAAATGAATAAAATGATGCTAAAGTGTATCAGAACCTCAGGCTTTCTCTAAAGATCCAGCATGGAATTCCCTTCCTGCCCCCTGCCCCTGGGCGCGGCTGCCGCTGCTGGCGAAGCGCCAGTGCCACTGCCCCCGCCTGCGCCCAGCCCGCTTGTGGCAGAACCGGACGGGCTGGGCAGGAGACCTGCCGGGGAGGAGGAGGGGGCATTCATGGGTGAGGAGGGAAGGGTGGACCCGGCAGACAGGGGTGGGCCCACTCACGGCCAGTTAGGCCAGCATGCCTAAGGGTGCCATCAGAGGCAGCTCCTGTTCGGTACCCGTTAGGTGAAGCGTTCGTGAGCTGTTGCGGCAGGTCTCTTTCTTGTGTGCATGTGTGTGCACAAGAGGGGAATAGTATTAGGGCTGAAGTTGGAGGTCATTATGGGAGGTTGGAGGTCATTATTGGCATAGTGGCTAACTGTTGAATGTTGGATGTTGCCAGTGGTACACAGAAGTTATGGTTGGTACAGAGAATAGTAGATTTTATTTATTTACTTGTTTATTTAAACAACTTACATGCCGCCCCATTGCATGAGCCTTGGGGCGGCTTACAGTCGTTAAAAGATTGAGGCCAAAGGTAGATTGTATGGGTTTAACTGGCTTGATAACTCCCTCCCCCCCCCCTTTCCCTTCCCTTTTTGTGTTTGTGTGTGTATTCCAGTGCTTAGTTTGTGCTGTTAGGTGCCAAGCTATGGAAGAAGGCAGAGTAATTGTGGGCAGTGGGACACGTGGTGATGAGTGGCCGTCAGAGGAGAGGAGGGGACAGATGCCTCCAGCCTGGCAAGATGTGGTACCCATGTAAGCCTGCCCTCAAGCCCGGTTGTTCAATGGCAGGTTGGTACATAACCAGATCTCACTTAGCCATGACCTTCTTGCGGATGAGGGTGCTGACCTGGGTTGGCAAGGCGGATGGCGTCCTCTCCCAATTTTGCCCCCCCCCCCCCCGGTACTCAATCCAGCACCAACATCACCTTGAGGACTGGGGAGGGGGAATGGCTATGGTTCATAGGAGCTCAGTCTCCCTCACTAGGCTTCCTGTCCACCTGAGTCCAGATCTTGAGTGTCTGTGTCTTGCATTGAACAACTGAGACAGAGTTGGGATTCTGCTGACATACCACACACCATGTTGCCCCAAAGTCTCAGACCCCACCCCTTCCATGCCAGGATATCCCATCTGGTGCAGTTCAGGACTCCATGATGGCCATGACAGCCATGGGACTGTCTCAACAAGTCACCAGCCTAACACATGAAAAGGCACATACTCTGAACCTGGCCTTCTAGACTGGGCAGGAAGAGGTCTTTCTGTAACCCCCATGTCATGGTCAGTTCACTTCCTTTTGAGGTTTGAACATTCAGCCCATTTCCCCCTCTGCAGGGGTGGGGGACCTGTTAGGTCACTCTGCCCCTGGAGACTGATGGATCTTGGTGGATTCCTGAGATCTCTGGGGGAGTGGCATGTTTGACATAGTTGATACTCCTCTTGAAGCCCAGCTTACCCTGTGGAATATGGAGACAAGCTGGGCAGTTAACTTGATCTCTCCTGAGCATCCTCTCTCTCCTTGCACAGCCCGTACAGCCCTCTGGAACATGGTGGAACTGAGGGTGAGGAAGCAGTTGGGAGACAACTGAGGCCCGAGTGGCAGAGAACTTGGGGCAAATCCAGCTGAACGTGACTTAGAGCTCATTGCTGAGCCTACCCTCCGGCTGTCTTGGGGCCTTTCCGTGCTGGTCCTAAAAGAGGACATGTTGAACTGTTAAAAATGACCACAGTTACACCACTCCTAAAAAAAATCAAAACAGGACACAGGTGATGTGAACAAGTGTAGACCAAAAGCCAACATCCCTGAAAGAAGAGCTGTCATCAATGACCTGGACCAGGGGGTGACCAGTCTGCTGATTAAATTCGCAGAGGATACGAAAATGGCAACAACTGAGGAGCAGGTACCCCAGATCCAGAAGGATCTGAAAAGATTATGGAAGTGGGCAGGAGACCACAGGATGGCGTTCAATGTGGATAAGTGCAAGGTCTTGCACTTGGGGCATAGGAATGGGTGTCATAAGTACAGGTTAGGGGACAAGAGGCTGGAGAGCAGCACTTGTAGAAGGGATCTCGGGGTGCTGGTCAACTGCAGGCAGAACATGAGTCAGCCGTGTGATGTGGTGGCCACGAGAGCGAACACCACGCTTGGTTGCATAGCCAGAAGAATGGCTTCTAGATCGAGAGAGGTATTACTACCACTCTACACGACTCTGGTGCACCCGCAACTGGAGCACTGTGTTCAGTCCTGGGCCTCTCACGGTGCTGCTGCCCGTGAGGACGCTTTCTGCCATGCACTCAAGGCGGCTTCTAAGGGTCACGTCAAGAAAATCGCCACATGGTAAAAAGGCTCCTCAGTAGCACAGACCCGCTCCGTAACCAAGCCGCAGCTGAGATTGCTAAGCAACCCCACTTGGGGAGATTTCAGAAGCCGCGGCTGCTGCCTTTCCGCCCATGTGGCAGGACTGAGGCTTCCTCTCTCTCTCTCTCTCTCTCTCTCAGCATCTGGGGCCTTTCCAGCTGCTGGGGGCCATGCCTCGAGAGGCCCCGCTCGCTCTCAGGCTGCAGGACACAAAGGAGATCTTCAGAGACCTCCGACAGGCGGGTCTGCGGAGCAGGCAAGTGGGCTGGGAGGAGGAGAGCCGGTTTGTGTACAGGGGGACACGGGGCTGCTTCGGGTGTTTTCAGTTAGAATGGGAGATTTTGGTCACTTTTCAATTTGATAAGTGAATGTAAAAAGACTTCACACTTTGGAAATTTGTATGTGAATCAGTCTTTCGGATTTCTCCCAACAAAAATGCATGTATCATTAATGTGAAAACTGATGTGAAAACAGAAAGAAACAAGTGGAAGACTGGAAAGCCCAGCATGGCCCCCACCTGCGAAAAACAGCACGGGCTGGTCCTCGCCTCGGCGCCTGGCTGTGGCTGCCCCCCGGCCTCGCCTCTTGCCCCTTCCATGTGCCACTGCAGCACCTTCTCCCGCTTGTTCTTCTGCTCCCTTCGGGTGGCCCAGTGACCAGGCCGTCCGTGTGTCTCTTCCCTTCATAGTATCTTGTGAAACATTCAAATCCCTGCAATTTATATAAAAGGCACCCTTATATCTAAAATGATCAAATCGCAGGCCACTTAATATCGACCATAAAGTCATACTGCACAACTAGTTCAAATGGAGTTTGGTGAAAAGTTCATTAATGCGATATCAAGCATCTATCAAAAGCAGTCTGCTAGGATTATAATCAATGGAGAATTTACAAATATAGATATACAGAAGGGTACAAGACAAGGTTGCCCGCTATCACCACTGTTGTTTATATTGATCCTAGAAGAGTTAAACAGAAATATCAGGGACAATATGGACATTAAAGGTACTAGAATTAGAGAGGAAAGCTATAAATTGCAAGCATTCACAGATGACCTAGTTCTCATAACTGAGGAACCCTTAGTAACAATGCCTAAACTCCTACAAAGGATTGAAGAGTATGGCGAATTACTGGGATGAAAATAAACAGAGAAAAGATGAAATTGTTTGTGAAAAATCTCACACAGGAGCAGAGAAAAACTCTGGTGGAACAAGTAGACTTTCAGATTTGTTAAAAAGGTTAAATATTTGGGAATTTATCTTACAGCTAAGCGTACCACTCTGAAAGAAGACAATTATGATAAACTATTTAAGGAAATTAAGAGTGATTTGGAAAAATGGGCTAATTTGCAATTATCCTTGCTGGGAAGAGTAGCACTAGCTAAAATGAATATCTTACCAAAGCTTTTGTTTCTATTCCAAATGATTCCCATAAAAATTGATAGAAAATTTTTTGATGATTTAAATTTTCAAATCTCGAGCTTTATATGGAGAAAGAAGAAACCAAGGATTGAACTAAAAATACTTCAGGAGGCTAAAGAGAATGGGGGCTTTGGTCTCCCCGACTGGATGCTGTATTATCAAGCTTCTGTTTTAACGTGGCTAAAAGAATGGATAACCTTAAGAAATAAGAGAATCTTGTATCTCGAAGGGCATGATTTGCAAATGGGTTGGCATGCTTATATGTGACGTGAAAAGGCTAAGGTACATGGTTCTTTTTTAAGTCATTATATTAGGAAATCGGTGTGGGAAAAGTTAAAGACAAAATTGTATAATAAATTACCAAGATGGCTTTCACCTATAGAAGCTCTTGTATATCCAAATGCATTGAACTTTGAAGCGATCGTAAGATAAGACAATATTTTGGATAATGATGGAGGATTGAAATTGAATCAAGAAATACAAGAACAAGGATCTAGTATTTCTTGGTGGCATAAGGTGCAGATACAATCGAGATTTGCTAAAGACTATAGAATGTGGGGCTTTTATAAAGATTTAACAGCATTTGATCAGGTGATACTTAAATCAGATGAGAAAATGATTAAAAGGCTATATAATTTCTTACTAGATAGGAGAATGGAAGATTAACAGGTTAAGGAAACTATAATAACAGGGGCACAAAACTTTGGATATAATATCGAATTAGAAAAATGGCAAAAGCTGTGAGAGAGAAATATTAAGGTCACATTAGTAACTTCATATAAAGAAAACTTGTATAAAATGTTTTATAGATGGTATTTATTGCCAAATAGACTAGCCAAGATGTTTCCAAATATGTCAAATGGATGTTGGAAATGTAACATAAATTGGGTACCTTCTCCTCATATGTGGTGGACTTGCGATAAAGCGAAAAAATACTGGATTAAAATGCATAAATGACTTGAGAAAACGTTACAAAAATCCTTAGCTTTTAAACCTGAAGTTTTCTTATTAGGCATTATACTTGTTGATATTAGTAAACAAGAAATGTACTTGATTTTACATGTAATTACTGCAGCGAGGATTGCATTCGCCCAACACTGGAAAAGTGAAGAACCACCCACTGATGAACTGATCCTAAAAAAGATCTTGGACTGTGCAGAAATGGACAGATTGACTTTGCCATTGAAGGAGAAAGAAGATACTGATTTCTATCAAACCTGGGACTCTTTTTATTATTGGCTAGAGAAATGGGACTTCATATAGATTCAAATAAGTTTTTTTAAGTTATCATAAAAAGAAAAAAATCTGATCCCAAAGAAGGGCAATGCCAAAGAATGCTCAAACTACCGCACCATTGCACTCATTTCACATGCTAGCAAAGTTATGCTCAAAATCCTACAAGCCAGGCTCCAGCAGTATGTGGACCGAGAACTACCAGAAGTACAGGCAGGATTTCGAAGAGGGAGAGGAACTGGAGATCAAATTGCCAACATACACTGGATCACGGAGAAAGCTAGGGAGTTCCAGAAAAACATCTACTTCTGCTTCATTGACTATGCTAAAGCCTTTGATTGTGTGGATCACAACAAATTGTGGCAAGTTCTTAAAGAGATGGGAGTACCAGACCATCTTATTTGTCTCTTGAGAAACCTATATGTGGGTCAAGAAGCAACACTGAAAACTGGACACGGAACCACTGATTGGTTCAAAATTGAGAAAGGAGTTCGGCAAGGCTGTATACTGTCACCCTGCCTATTTAACTTATATGCAGAGCACATCATGAGAGAGGCGGGCCTAGATGAATCACCAGTTGGAATTAAGATTGCTGGGAGAAATATCAACAGCCTCAGATATGCAGATGATACCACTCTCATGGCAGAAAGTGAAGAGGAACTAAAGAGCCTCTTGATGCGGGTGAAGGAGAAGAGCGAAAAGTTGCCTTGAAACTCAACATTAAGAAAACTAAGATCCTGGCATCCGGTCCTCTCACTTCCTGGCAAATGGATGGGGAAGAAATGGAGGTAGTGACAGATTTTATTTTCCTGGGCTCCAAGATCACCGCAGACGTGGACTGCAGCCAAGAAATTAAAAGACGCTTGCTCCTGGGCAGGAAAGCTATGGCAAATCTAGACAGCATACTAAAAAGCAGAGACATCACCCTGCCAACAAAAGTGCGTATAGTCAAGGCTATGGTTTTCCCAGTTGCAATGTATGGCTGTGAAAGTTGGACCGTAAGGAAGGCTGAGCACCGAAGAATAGAGGCCTTTGAATTGTGGTGCTGGAGGACACTCCTGCGAGTCCCTTGGACCGCAAGGCGATCAAACTGGTCAGTCCTAGAGGAGATCGACCCTGACTGCTCTTTAGAAGGCCAGATCCTGAAGATGAAGCTCAAATACTTTGGCCACCTAATGAGAAGGAAGGACTCCCTGGAGAAGAGCCTAATGCTGGGAACAATAGATGGCAAAAGAAGGAGGGGACGGCAGAGGATGAGGTGGCTGGATGGAGTCACTGAAGCAGTCGGCGTGAGCTTGAGTGGACTCTGGGGATGGTGGAGGACAGGGAGGCCTGGAGGAATGTTGTCCATGGGGTCGTGATGGGTCGGACACAACTTTGCGACTAACAACAACAAAAAGAAAAAATGTGGGGGCTGACCCTGCAGGTCTAATGTTTCTGATGATTGATGTTGTTTTTAGGGTTTTTTTTTTTGGTATTAGGGTTATTTAGAATAAAACTTATTAAAAAAAGAAAGAAAGAAAGAAAGAAAGAAAGAAAGAAAGAAAGAAAGAAAGAGGTATTACTGCCACTCTATTCAACTCTGGTGCACCTGCAGCTGGAGTATTGTGTTCCGTTCTGTTCCCTCATTACAAGAGGGATATAGTAAGTTTGGAATCAATGCACCAATAAGCCACAATGCCGGTTTGCAGGGAAAGCCGTATGAGGCAAGACTGAGGGAGCTGGGTCTTTTCAGCCCTGAGAAGAGGAGGCTCAGAGGGGACCTGCTAGTGACATAGATGTATGTGAGGGGGTGCCTTGAGGAGGTGGAGGAGACTTGTTTTTCCCCTGTGCAGGAGGGCAGGACAGGCTTCAACGGAGCAAAGCTGGACTCAACGCCCTCCTCCCGTCAGGCACGCCTGCCCTGCCTTTGCTGTCCCGCATCTTCCCAGAGGCGATGACCCCCCCTTGGCCATCTCCACTCCCCCAGGGCTCCACAGTGCCCAGCCGGTCCCCAGGCCCTCCAGCAGGTGCACAGAAACCCCTCGGCACTGTGTCCCCCGCCAGCGGCATGCATTCGCTGCTCTGGCACCTCGTCCTCTTTGACAGAACATCACTGCTTGCCATGACCTTGTTACCCGTCCCCTGGAACTGCCTTTGCAAGGCTGTTAGTTGATGAAATGCAGCTGGCCAAGCCCAGTGGTGTTGGGGGAATCAATTAAACATGCCACAGCGCTGCTTTGTCTTGCGATGGTGCGTGCGTGCGCTGAAGCAGGCGGCCATGAGCGGAGGCGCCCCTCCTCTTGCTTCTGCAGATGGACGGTCTCTCCAAAGGCAGTGCTTGCAGCATCTCTTCGTGGGTGAGCTGGCCTGACCTGCCGGGTGCCTTTCACTTCCGTTCAGGGCTGCGTCGTGAATCACGCCTGGTCTTGGGCTTCTCTTCTGAGGTGGTGCAGAGCAGCGGCAGATGGAGGCCAGGCTGCGAGAAATGCGGCACGCTTTTCCATTCATCTTAGTGACATATCATTTCCCTTTCGAGGAAGTTTCAGCAGGAGGGTGATGATAATTAAATTATGACGGGTTGCAGAAATATTAATGATCCTTACCTATGGGTGTGTAAACAAAACCTCCGATAAAATATATTGGGGAAAATGGTACA